GCAGCGGGCGGGTCAGGAGAAGTCTGCCGCGCCATGTGGGTCACCTCCGGGCGGGGATTGAACTCACACTAAAGCAGCTGCTACTAGCTTCAGGAGGGCCTGACGCTCAACTTTCTTAAATGTAAAATGGAGAGAATGATCTTACTCCACCAAGAACCATCGAAAGGACAAGAAAGTGTGGCAAGTGGCAAGTGTCACTCTACAACCTTAACTGCCAGGGTCCCTCTCAAGTCCCCCCACCCCGTGACTTTGGGGCCTGGGCCTGTACTCCACAGTCCTGGTACTCTGAAGTCTAGCTTGAGGGAAGTAAGAGGGTCACTTTGCCCCCCTCAAGTTTCCTAAACAAATAATATGCCTCTAAGTAATCCTGAATGAGCTAAGTTGGCTCCAGAGGCTCAGGCAGGGCCTGAGTGGGGTTCATCATTCCCAGCAGCCAACAGATGGCCGACATCAGCGCAAACAACGGCTTTCCATCTGTTAGCGCAGACAGCTGCCAGGTGGGGCACAGTTCTGTCAACTCTGAGAGCCCAAGTCATTGGGCCCAGCAGCCATCTGGTGCCATCTCCTGGAGTCCAAACCTCTTGTGAGGCCAGTGCGGCAGGGGCCTGGGAAAGACAATGGCTTATGGCTATCAGAGTCATCCTGGGGTTGACTCCAGGGAGGTACAGGGAGTACATTTCCTTTCCTGGAAAGGTGGTTATGGTGCTTGTGTCTGACACTAGGCCGTGGAGGAAGCAGCCTGGATGGGATGAGAGTCCTGGACCTGCAGGAGACCAGGGCCCAGGTGCTAGCTCTGCCAGCTGGGTGAACTCAGGTGCGTCACTGAGTCCCTCAGAGCACATAACGGTGAAAAGGGTAGTAGCTACAGAGGCAAACAGACCAGAAATATGGCCTCTGCACACACAGAACATCTCAGAGCCTAGGTTTCCGCTTAAGGAAAAGGGCTTAGAGAGAATGCATGTTTTAAAACTTAGAGATAATGCACAAAAGCCCCTGCACAGTGCTGGGGCCACACTAATGTCAGCAGTTATTTGTGCTCTTTGTTTTTTTTTTCAAAATATATATCTATGCATACAAGAGCTGGGGTGCAAGCCAGAGTTGTGTGAGTGGGTATCAGGTGTGTGTGTGTGTCTGTGTGTGTGTGACAGAGGACTCACCAGAGACAGAAAAGGAAGCAAGTAGACAAACTGCCTGAAATACACTGCTGAGGGAGTAGCAGGTGAGCTGGGAGCTGTCTGCTGCGCCATGTGGGTCACCTCCCTGGCCCGTGGCTGGGGATTGAACTTGTGCCACAGTGGCTATGCTTCACAGTGCTGTGACTTAACCCCTTGGGCCACCAAGAAGGCTCAGTGCTCTTTTGTTTTTCTTTCTTCACAGGATGGTGAGGGCCCCAGGGCAGGGATTTGGCCCCACTGCATTTCTGTGTCCTCCATTGCAGAGTTTGAGAAACAGATTCTTAAAGCTAGTGGCAATAGCCACCTGTTGTCGGAGGCAGTATAAGACCCCTGGTCCCAAGTCTTCCTGCAGCTGGAAGGCGAAAGAGAGCGTCTTTCCACTGAAAGGACACAGGGAGGCTCAAGAAGTCCCCAAGAAGTTCAGGAAATGGACTTGGAGGGGAGAATTGCCAGGCTCCCCAAGATTATACCAGCCTTAGTCTAAGTCTGGGACAAGCTGGTCTCCTGTTCTTGACAGGCAGGAAGTCAGGGGATGTGACAGTGACAGCTGAAATAACCAAAGCCTGCAGCTGCCAGGCAGCTGCTGGGTGACAGGAATCCATACATGCCTCTCTAGTAAACACCATCATAACTCCACTTATAGGGAAGAGAGGTTGAGAGAGGCTAAGATGCTTGCCAGGGCTCAGAATTTGGGTCTGCATCTTCTTTAAAGGCCTGTACTCTGAATCGCCCACTAGAGTGAAGGGCATTGGTGAGACAGGTCGGAGAGCACACAAATCCACTCACCTAGCAAGCCCAAGCTAAACCATAAGACTTGCGACCTTTTGTCCCAAGGCAGGATCAAGGTTTGTTGGAAATCAGATTTTCAAGAAAGCCCATATCCTTTAATGTTCACACAACTTCCTCATAGTATTTTCACTCTCACTGCAGGGAAGTTTTCTAGACCTGGGCAGCCTTTACTAGCCTCTAAGAGCTTGCCTGCGTTTACAGAAGAACAGTGAGCCGTCCAGGATTCTGCAGCCAGCAGGCCAAGCCTCAATGAAATCTAGGTCTCCCAGGGCCACTGTAGCTCACCTCACCATTTAGAATGCCTTGGAGAGAAAGGCTGAGTCAAGAGCGGCTGCCCAGATTTCCTAGAAAGAAGGGGAAGAGGTGGGGAAAGGAGAGGTGGTATTTTCACTCCAGATGGCTTTTCTTTTGCAGGATTTGGCCTATTTTGTCCAGGAATCAGACAGATGTTAGATGCTTAATACCATCTCCACCCTCAGAGACATTGTGCAGCCTCACAACGGCAACAGGGACAATGGGAGGAAGGGGAGGAACTAGCTGCTCAGCGACCCCCTGGGGACTTTGCATGTAGTGACAATGTATCTGGGTGTGAATTTGCTTCATGTCTGTCTCTGCCCTGAGATCAAGACTCAGCACCTAGAACCCCACAACTCAACTGAGTTCCTACGACTTCAACCTGATATGGAATCCCTCACATATGAGGCCTGAAAAAGACCTGGTGAGTAAACAAATGAGTTGAAAACATAAGAATGAGCAAATCTCCTCTGAGAACTCTCATGCCTGCTACCCCACTGAGGAAATGGCTTCTGCCCTGCCAGGATCCAAGCCTCTGCTGGGTCCCATTATACCAATATAGGATCAGAAAGGCAGAGGGGCAAAACTAGGTAGGGAGAGTGTTTTTCTGGACTATCTTCTCCAAAAACAGAACACAAAGGAAAGAAGAAATGTACAGGGGGATGATATTCCAAAATACAGTACCCTCTTCTCCCCAGGAGCGTGTCTGGGAACTCTAGAACCACATATGACATCAGATGCAGCACGACCCTCCAGGAGGGATCTGAAAGCCTGTTATTACCGTCACCATTATTACTGTTGTTATTATTATTCAAGTGGTCTCCAGGGACCCTGCCCTTGGTGGCCTCAGTCACCTAGTCTGAGTGACAGCTTGCCCCTGAGCAATCAAGTGTGCCAGTTCTAAGCACCTGCAGTTTGGCCATTAAGGCTGACAGACTGGCCCAGCCCAGCCAGGCTAGTGCCTCATGACTAGCTCACCCAAAGGTTCTAGGCCCAGAGATGTCCACTGGAGTCTGGGGCTTCTCTAGGGTCAGAGCTCACCTTCTGAGACTGCAACTCCTGGGTGAGCATCAGAACCTGCTGCTCTAGCGCTTTCTCCTGGGCAGTTCGATTCCTCGAGAGTCCATCGGAGAAGAACGGGAAGGTGTTGTTCTGACGCTTGGCTTTCTGAATTAAATTGGCAGTCAGAAAGGACTTGGGTGTAGGCTTTGGAGACTCTGCTGGTTCTTTTCCTGCCCAAGAGGAGAAACACATAAGTTATGGAGGAGGACAGGAGGCGCTCTCGAACTTGAGCTTGCTACAGAAGATTGGCCCGGCTTCAATACTGCTCCAGAGCTTTTCATGCAGTGTGTCTAGAATCATGCAATGTGTTGAGAATCTGCATTTCTACGAGGTCCCTGCCTGGGGCTGATGCACTTTGTCCAGGGATAATACTTTGAGAACCACTGGTGTGTGTGTGTGTGTGTGTATACATACACACACCCACATACACATACATACACACATGTATGTGTATGTGTTTGTATTAATATCTAGATTGTGCTGGCCAGGTCATTCCGCCCATTCTCCAAACTACACTTGCACAGGCCTTTCATACCAATCCCCTGGAGTTTGCTTGTGGTTTCAGGATTCCACCTCTGCCCTCTGGGTGCTTTGCAAAGCACACAGATTTGTCCATTCACAGGAGTCCCCAAAGGGTAACAAACTCCTCTTTGATTCTTATTACAGCCTCCGTTGGGACATATTTCCCGCACTTGATTGCCCCAAGGTTCACAGTCCTTTCATGTCCTCTAGGGTTACGGTCAGCAACTATGACAGGCCACAAGCCAAAGCCAGCTTGCTCCTGCTTTTGCAAATAAAGCTTGACTGGAACTCAGACTCACCTGCATACGTGTGTACTACCTGTGCTGCTTTCACACATGAGGGCAGAGCTGAGTACTGGTGAGAGAGACCAGAGGGTCCACAACAGCACCCATATTCACTCTTTGGCTCTTTTAAAAAAAATATTTATGTGTACAAGAACTGGGGTTCAGGCCAGATGTGCAGGGGGTAAGAAGATGCACCAGAGACAGAGTGGGGAGCAGAACCGGCAGATCTACTGAAGTACACTGCTGAGGGGAGCAGCGGGCAAGACTAGAGAGGTCTGTCTGCCGCGCCATGTGGGTCAGCTTCCTGGGGAGCTGGGGATCAAACTCGTGTTGCAGTTGCTGTTGATAGTTTCATAATGCTGTGCTTTAACCCACTGCACCGCCAGGGAGGCCCACTATCTGGCTCTTTACAGAAAACATTTACAACTAGTACTAAATTATATTCTTAAGTCTAACATCACTGAGTCAATCATCCTGATGGCCTTATCTGCCCTGCCCAAGGCATGTGCTGTAGTGCTCAGCCATCAACCAGCAGAGGACATTTCAATGGCCTGATTATGTGATAAAAGACCCTGATCTCCTGTGCATGGCCCATAATACACATGATACCCATGACTGGCCCCAGTGGGAGTTCTTAGTGCTAGAAAAGCTTTGTTTCTTCTGAAAAAACAAAAAACAAAACCCAAAATGTACTGGCCTTATGGGCACGGACATAGCCCAACCAGCAGCATTTCCCTCTTTGCCTTGGCTGTTCGGAAGCTCAGTGCCACACTTGCTGCCCACCTTTACTGCTCTCCATCATCTTAATCTTGCTCTCATTTCAGTCTCCTGACCCCAATTGCTTATTTGCTTTCTCCTTTAGCAAGCCATCCTTATGGGATGCAGTTATTAAAACTTAGAATATGAATGCAATCTGGGGGAGAGGGTAAAGCTAGGACTTGGAGGAATTGCTGAATGACTTCGCCTCTTCCTTCTGGTCATCAGATTGGCCAGTCTTACCAGATAAAGAATCACTCTGGTAATTCTTGACAACAACCAGACACTCCTTGGCCTTGTTGATTACCACAACAGAATGGTCTTGTTCCAGATGTAAAAGAAATCGGGTTGCACCAGGCAGACAACAAATTGAAAATATGTACTCAGAGCACCTAAGAAGCCAAGCCCCGGATGGTGTGAATCACTCATGTTTTGTGGCAGAGATAATAAGCTGCTACGTCATGGCTTGGTGGCCATCTAGTCACTTGTTCTGCTCACTGGGGAAATCTGATTTCAGTCACTCCAGAAAGGCAATTTTATACCCTCTCCAGGAAGAAAAGGCAAGAGATTTTCCTTAGTACTCCAAGAACCATAGTTAAGCGTTTCCAGTTTCAGTTTGGAATGATGAAGGAAAATTCTGGAGAGACGGTGGGGATGGTTGAACATCAGTGTGCATGTTCTTAATGCCACTGACTGGACACCTAACATTGATTACAGTGGTAACTTTTGTTATGCCTATTATAGACCAGAAAAAAGGAATCATTGTTATTAGACTCACACCAACCCAGGAGGAGTGGCACAGAGTTTCATCTTTTGACACACATGCAAATGCTGGTCTTGGGGTTGGAGAGGGGTTTTATTTGGTCTCCAGAGGGCTCTCAGACCTGGGCAGAGGCTCACCTGGGGCACTGGGGTCTGGGGGCGAGGGCTGCTCCTTCTGAGGCTCCCCAATTGGGGAAGCATCTTCCTCTGGAGGTCTGTGGCCTGCTCCTTGGGCATGCCTGCTGCCCCGGAAATTGTACATTGTGTTTCTGAAAGGGAACAGAGGAGCGTGAGGCTGACAGCTCTGCATCTCACCGCCACTGCAGCTCAGGCCACATCCCACCTGTCACACAGGCTCCGAGGCACTGGCAGGATGCATCCACCCAAGTCTCTCCCTACCCTGACCCATCTCTTCACCACACTTATGACCTTCTGCACAGAACACTGCTTGGAAACAAGAAGCCCTACTCCTGTTGTTGCTAGAGTGGAACCCCACGAGGGCAAGTGTGTTTGTTTGCTTTGTTATTCATATACTTTGCATGTGTAGACCAGTACCTGAAACACAGAGGTCACTTACTACACGTGTTGAGGGTATGTTAAATGGATTTGCCAAATTAACTTTCCTGAAACCTTCATCCGGTTTTGCGATGACCTAGCTCAAAAATCATCAGGGGCGCCCTCATTCTAAGAAGTGTCCCAAACATCTCCTAGCCTTCCTCTCCCCTGACTTTCTTCCCCTCTTACATTTGTTCTCTCTGAAGCCAATCTCACCAGCTTCAAGGTGAAGCCCACGTTCCACCTCCATGGACCTTCCTTTACTTCACAACAGGTGTATTCTCTGACCTAGGTCTTGTGTAGGCTGAACAGCGGTGTTATTTCTTTCTGAGCTGGTGCTAATCTACCCACTCACCTGCTGCGCCTGGTCTGAGCTGTGCTGCCAGAATGCCGGCTAAATACACTCTGGGTTTGCAGGTGACAATGAGGTGAGGCCCTCCTTGGTGGTGCAACGGGTTAGGACACAGCACTGCAAGCTAGCCAAAGCCGCTTCAGTGCAAGGTCGATCCCTGGCCCCGGAGGTGGCCCACATGGCGTGGCAGACCTCTCCTGACTTGCCCGCTGCTCCCCTCAGCAGTGTACTTAATTGATCTGTTTGTTTTGCTCCCCACTCTGTCTCTGGTGGATCCTCTTACCACCCCTGCACCTCTGGCTTGTACTCCAGTTCTGTATGCATAAATAAATTAATCTTAAAAAAAAAAAGGAGGTAGCACCAGAGGCCACGTAGGAATATGGGACACCGAGAAATCCATAATGAGTGGGACGAAAAAACAGTGCAGTTGAGTTTATTTTTCCTTTAGAAAGAGATAAAAGTAGACATGCTCCACAGTTAGTTAGGAAGAGAAATGACTAAAGGCACTTACTAGGTTAGTGTTTCGCCAATTGCAGACTGACCCATTAGGAGACAGCAAGATCGGTTTAGTATCCTGATCAGCAATTGGAGGACAGGCTGGGAAATGGCAGTGTGTACCCATTTATAAAGCGTTAATATTTTGTGAATTATTTTTCTTACATATTTGTGTGTTTTATACACAGACATGTGTACTTATATGTACTCACCTATGTAAATAAAATATTTCTAACTGGTCACAGCCAATAATTTGGAAAACACTGCACTAGAAGACCACTTGTTTAAAACACAGCATTTATATTGTCAAAAAAGCAGAGAGTGGGAAGGTCCTCCCTGGTGGTGCCACAGGTTAAAGCACAGCACTGCAAAGCTAGCCATAGTCACAGCCACAGTCGCTTCAGCTCAAGTTCAATCCCTGGCCAGGGAGGTGACCCACATGGCGCGGCAGACCTTTCTTGTTTCACCTGCTGTTCCCCTTAGTAGTGTATTTCAATCTGCCTGTTCTGTTTCCTGTTCAGTCTCTGGTGAATCCTCTCACCACCCCACACACCTCTGGCCTGTACCTCAGTTCTGTATGCATAGATAAGTAAATCTTTAAAAAAAAAAAAATAGAAGAGGGTGGGAATGTCTGGAGTCTTGAGATGGAGTCTTGGCTTTGCTACATCATCCTTTAGTGTGAAGTGCAGGTCTAGCAACACAGTGGATAAATTACTCTGCAAAACCTTATTCTACCACCACCTTCATGCCAGATAAACATACAACATCTTTGTAAAATTCTAGTTGAATTTCCAGGAAAGGAATGGAACTCCCTGGAGGATTAAATATGAAAAGAGAGGTGAAACTCCAGTGGGAAGTGAAGAGGAAGGTGAACAAGCAGATTAGGTCACTTTTCAGCAAAGTTCACTTCTTACCCTCACTCTATGGGAAGGAAGTACCTGCCTCCTTCTTCTTGACTTTGGGCCTGGCTGTGGACTCACCTTGGCCAAGGGTGTATTAACAGACGTTGTAGAAACACAAGCCTGCCATGTGCTGGTGTGCAGGACTTGCCCTCTGGAAGAACATGCTTTGGGTAGTGCTGGCTCATGGGAAAACAGAAATCCAAGGAGACTTAGGTCTCACCGACAGCTTGGAGCCGAGACCAGCTGGACCCGAGGAGAGACAAGAAAGGCTCATGACACTGAATTTTGAAGTATTTGCTTGTAACATGTTGTCATGAAAGACTAGGACTTGAGTTTGTCCTGGGCTAACTGCTGTTTTTTTTTTTTTTTAAATTGAATATAATCAACATTTAACATTACATATTTTCAGGTGTACAAAATATTGATACAATCTCTCTCTGTATCTCGATATGTACTTCCTGAGATGAACTCCACATAAGTCTAGCTAATATCTATCACTACACATAGTTAAACTTTTTCTCTTGTGATCAGGGATCAAATACTGATAGCCAAATGTTGATACCAAGGTTGCAAGGGAGGAAAGAAACAAGGTTTTGGACCCATGCAAACTGCAGAGTTGAAAATGAAATTCTGACATAAATTTGGGATTCTTGAAGGTCCACACCCTCTGTGAAGAAGTCAGACATTTGCTTGTTAGAAGAAATTAACACAAGCAAATTCTAAGCAAAATCTCTCGGTGTCAAAAACATTTTTTACTTGGGACATCACTGGTTTGGGTATCAGGACAATACTGACCTTATAAAATAAAATGGAAGTATTTCCTACTTTTCTTTTTGTTTTGTTTTGTTTTGTTTTGTTTTAGGTATAAGGTGGAAGTTTTTGAAGAATTTGGATTAATTCTAATGTCTGGCAGAATTCACCAGTGAAGTTTTCTAGTCCTAGGTTGCATGTGCGTGTATATTTGGGTCCCAAATAGGAAGAGAGTAAGATTACACTTTAATAGACAGTATAGGTGGCTGGCAGAGGGAAAACAATCAGTTAAATTAAGAGCAGAGAAGAAATTAGAACTCAGCACTCACTCCCAACACGGGACCTTGAAATCTGGCTAGCCACTGCTCTTGCTCTGGCATTTCTCAGATCCTATTACAAAGGGCCCTGATGGGCCCTCCCTGGTGGCATGATGGGTTAAAGTTCAGCACTATAAAGCTATCACAGCCACTGCAGCACTAGTTTGATCCCCGGCCAGGGAGGTGACTCACATGGCGTGGCAGACCTCTCCTGACACGCCCACTGCTCCCCTCAGAAGTGTATTTCAGTGGATCTGCCTGTTGTGCTCCCCACTCTGTCTCTGGTGAATCCTCTCACCCACCACACCTCTGGCCTGTACCCCAGTTCTGCAAGCATAAATAAATAAATCTTTAAAAAAAAAAAACAAAAGGCCTGACTCCTTGGGTGAGTCACTTCCCTTTCCTAGTCCCTACTTTCCCCATCTGAAAATAAAGGTCAAGATTAAAGAAATAATGATGGCCATGCAGGGCACTATTTACTGAGTGTCACTGGGCCTTATGCTGAGCCCCATTACATGGATCTCACAAACCACAAGAAGTGGGGAGATGCCAGGACACACCCCTACAGCAAGGGACAATGGCTGGGTGGGGTGACCATCAGTGCTGCGCGCACTTCCCCTTCTCGGCAGCTCTAGCCTCTCCAGTCAGTCCAGGGCTCATAAGCATTCATGTCTGGGGTGTGGGAGGGCACAGAACCCCACTTCAGAGCATTGAGGGGCCCTCCAGCCTAGTACACATGTCCCCTGTGGATGGCCCTGACTAACACAGAAACACTGACATGGGTGCTACAACTGAGCTAAACTCCTGCCCTTAGGACAGGCATCTCCAGTTCACAACTGCTTGGAGCAGTTCAAAGACAGTTTTCTGTACAAGTTTAGCTCCAGGTCTGAAAGGCCTGGCCAAGCTAGATAGGTAACTTTGGGCAAGACATTTATTCTCTCTGGGCCTAGAGCTTTCTTCTCTAGGTGTAGAGGTTTCTTCGTGTGCAACGTGGATGGTGAACAGATCCAAGCCAGGGGCAGGACTAAGTCAAACACCACATCCATTTGGCTCATTTAATCCCACAACTGCCCAAGGAAGTAAGCGCTATTGATATCATCACCCACTGCACTGAGAGGACTGAGATTGAGAAGAGGGTGACCCAAGCCGGAGAGGGGGTCAGAGGTGGGGAGGCTGAGCTATACACCTGACTCCGTGGTCTAAGAACTTAACTGTTTGGATACCGGAGCTGGGACCCCTACATTTTGCAACAGACTCCCCTGGTGGCCATTTCAAACAAAACTGCTTTATGTCTAGACAGTTCTCCTGATTCAGGGCTTGGCGTTCTGTAGGTGTGCAAAAGACCTGGTTTGTTGTTTACCTACCACCTCACAGATGTGCCCAGACGAGCTCAGTGACAGCATACAGCCCTGAGCATGTGCTCGAGAAGCGCCCTCCTTCCTCCCCTGCATGGGACCTGGACTTGGGCAGCCCCAACAGCAAACTCTAAGAGCAGCCGGGGCAAGGGGACAAAGGTGACCTTGATCTGGCCGTGCCTCCCACAGCCCTGCGCACTTTTCTTGTACTGGTGCCTCGAATTTCTGTGGGTTATTACAAGTGTCAGAAGGAAGTGACAGACTGGTTATCTGAAACTTCCTTCCTTTCTTGGTGTCTGCGTGTTCTGCTCCACTTCTGCTGCCAGTGGCCATTGGGCATAAACCTGGCTTCACCCTCGCAGGGAACACACTGGTCAATGGCTGCACTTCTTAGGTCCCCTTGCCCTCACAGCAGACTCCCAAAGCACCTAGTTTCCCTGACTCCTCTAGAGGGAAGATCCCCTGCAGGGCCGCCTCACGGTCGGCTCACCCTGGGAGACTCAGCTATGCCACGGACCAGCCACCAGGGCACACACCCCCACCCCTCCAACCACACAAGTCTCTTTCTCTGTAGCTCAGATGCCTCCTGGGCACTAGCCCTCTATCTGAGTGCTGTGGAGTGGTTCTAGCTCCACCCAGCAGTCCTGAAGGACACCTGTCTTTTCTCTAAAGCTCACTTGTTTCCTGGGAATCGTCAAGCTCCTAGTTTTCCACATAAATTCAGACCCCGAAGTCACATAGAGAAACGATATGCTTGAATCACAGATCCATGGACTCTAATTCAATTCCAGTGAGCGATCTATTTTGTTTCTAAGGGGTCTCAATTTGAAGCCTGCACAGGAAATGAGCAGTGGGTTTAGTCTGAATTCTCCAAATTATCCAGAGCAACTATAGCCACAGAGCACACTACTTATCAAGTGCTTAAGTTGTCAAGCACTCCCCCCACCCCCCTAAACTTGTAAGGCAAGCACTGCTGTATTTACATTTCCTATCAGTTTAAGAAAAGCACAGAGAGGTTAAATAACTTGCCAAGGCCAGCACAGCCAGTGACAGGCAGAGGCCAGGATACAAGTCCAGGCAGGCTGGCTCCAAAGCCCAGACTCACTGCTATCTGCTTATAGACTTCTTGGAACAAAGCCTGCCAGTGGGAGACCGTCTACACAACACATTATTAAATGAAAACAGTAGCTGAGATGGACATAACACTAAATTATACATGTAAAAGATGAACATTTGATACAGCTGACACACATACTAGACCTCAGTGAAGCCAAATCCCATTCAGATGAGTCTAGAAAATGTGGAGGGACAAGAACTATCAAATGCTAAGAAGGTTTGTCTGGGTGACAGCATTATATGAGGGACTCAAAAATGTTTACCTTTCTAGATGTTTCTTACTGCCTACTAGGAATCATAGACTATTTTTAAAACCAGAACAACAAATGACATATTTTAAAGCAACAACTTCAAAGATTTTCAAGGTGACTTGAAAATAAACCTTTCACCTCCCCTCCCCCCTTCCTGCAGGGGAATCACCTCAGACACTGGCTGCTCCCAAGAGGGCAGTTTTTTGCTGCTTAGGCTTGGCCATCCCTCTCCCCACTGGCACTTACTGTATTTCAGTTCCGAGGTGCTTGAGGGAAATATTCGGAAGGGCCAAAGGCAGGGCAGGGACTGGCTGGAGGGCAGCGGCCTGGCCCACAAGCCCAGTAGGCGTCTTCACAGGATACAGGAACTCCTCCTGCTCAGCCTGGTCTTGCTCTGGGGAAAAAGGAAAGGGAAGTCACTCTGATTGGGAAGACAAGGCGAGGTGGGGGTAGGCTCCCCACCCCGCAGAGCACACCCTCCTGTGGGCAAACAGCAAGAGGCAGGCTTTCACCAGAGAGTCTGAGCCAGGGGCTGATCCACTGTGCTGGGCCAGCCTTCCCGGAAAGCCCTCAAAAATATGCAGAAGTGCTCCCCACTCTGTCTCTGGTGAAGCCTCTCACCGCCCCTGAGCCTCTGGCCTATACCCCAGTTCTGTATGAATAAATAAATAAATCTTTAAAAAAAATATGCAGAAGTACAGATTATTTCTACATCAGTGAATCCATCCTTCAGAAGTTGTCTGAAATGCAAGCTAAGCTTAATGAACCAAGAGGTGGATGCCAGCACTGTTTAGCCTCTAAACAGAAATAAAAAAGTTCAGGGGAAAGTTACATCATGCAGTATCCAGACAGTGGAATATTAGGCAATCATTTGAAGCAAGGCTAATGGGAAATGCTAAAGGCTATGGGGATCATGGGACAGATATAATATTAGTGAGAAAGTCATAAAAATTGGGGCTATCATGTGAGCTCCATCATAGAAAGTCTCACAGAAATATACCCTGCAGCCCCAACAATGATCTGAGCTGGCTGATGGGGTTAGAAGTGAGCAGGCTACTCCCATTACACTTTACTGTTTCCCCTAGATTTTCTTCAGTAAAATGAGAATATTGGTATAAATAGAAATGTTTATTCAACAAAAGTAGAGGTTTATAAAGAGATTTTATAATACAGAGAAATTTTAAGGTCAGGGCACTAAGTAGCAAATGGCACAGTCATATGTTGTATATTATTATGTAATCTGAACTATCAATATATTTAAGTCAAAGGTGGGGAGAGGTTATGACAGGATAGTCACAGTGGCTGAATGCGAGCGAGGGGAACACGGGAACTCTTCTCCCTACTTTCCTGTCTCCAGGGATTCGTCTTAATAATCCTGATAATCTTAACCTTTATTGTTAAGGAACGTTTCAAGGTTAAGGAAATGGTATTTGAGGTCTAAGACAGAGGAGACCAACTATTCAGCAGTCAGTTTTGGGGACGGGAGGGGAGGGGACAGGATGAGCTTCCTGTTTCGGCAGCAAGGACTGTAAGGGCAGTAGATCAGAGGCCTCTGGGATCTGCTAAGAGGGCGACGGTGGGGAGAAGTAGGCACTGAGGGAACTCACCACTGCACCAACATGCAAAACGCTGTGGGTGCAAAAAACGCAATAAAATGGTGGGGAGAGGAGGAGTTTAATCCACACACACACAAAAAATTTGTTAATTTCTAATATGCTCTTTCATTTCTGGCAAGCTCACTAGTACTTGGCAGTACCAAATCATTGCTCCAGTTCCTCCAATTCACTCTCTCACCAAACACATCTGGGTGTCTACCCGAGGTTTCCAGGTGGGGCTGGAGAAGTGAGATAATCCAAGGCACAGGAAGCTCCCTCTTAAAGAGAGAGGGAAGACCAAGGGGTGGCAGGTGGAAGGCAGGGGGCTGCCAGTGTGCCGAGGCAGGTTCCGTCCAACTGGAGGCTTCCTGGAACAAGGTGCTGAAGCTGGGCCTGGAGAGCAGAGACACGCAGATCTGTAGTGTGACGGGCCTTCTGCGCAGGGGCAGGCAGCAGTGGGTGTTTGGGACCCAGAGCTCATGCTGTGGGGAGGGAACCAGAGGAAATGGGGCTGGAAGGTCAGATGGAAGGGGGTGACTAAGAGTGAATCAGGAATCACAGGTGGTTGGAAGCCCAGAGACCTTGGGGAGCTCAGCAGGAATCCCAAGTACTTTCAGGCCTGCCTGGCCAGGAGGGGCTGCTGTGGGGAGCTGGGAGACCCCAGTGAGTTTGCAGTGTCTGCGGGAGGGTACCTGACCTGGCTGGAATCACTTTATCTCCTCAGGCCTCGGGTTTCAAGTTTTTAAGACAAGAGCAATAATCTCCATCCTGGGTATGAAAATGTTTAGAAAACTGTGAAGTCTCATATTGTGGACTGGCATGTGTCAAAGCAGCTTTACTTCAGATTTTGAGCCATTGAAAATAGTTAAGGTTTACTCATTAATCAATACTTTGATCTCCCTCATTCAGAACAAACACAAAACTCACAATTTGCCTAAGATTTTAATGTCTTGTAAGTACTTCCCTAACTGCCAATATGTTTTCTTCAACTTTCACCTGTGGCCCTAGAGCTAAGTCTTGGGCAAATGTCGCCAAAAAGGAAACAGCAGCTCAGAGGGGATGTGAGTGCTGGCCGAGGTCACACAGTTGTTAGCAGAGTCATAGATTGAAAAGCAGTTCCTGCTTTTCCACTAAAACCATATGGCTAATAAAAGCAGTGTCTGACAAGCAGATGGTTCCAGTGCACAGGGAGCCCGAGGGATTGGGGTTCATGATGGTGATGGCAAAGAGGGTCAGCACTTCCTGTAGGAGCAGGAATTGATGACCCAAGGCTCTGGCGTGGGGCTCCTCTCCAGCCTGGAGAAATGTCCTCAGTGAGGTGACCACACCAAGAATCGTCAGCAGCAATGACTTGTAATTCTCCTTCTGCCTGAGCTCTAGGGCCTGCGCCATCACCAGCAGGCAGAAGTCACTGCCCAACAGAGGGGCTGGGCCAGTAGGCCACTGCTTCCCCAGAGGGACACTGGCCCTCAGGTGGAGGGCTAAGGGTATGAGTCTGCAGACCAGGGTTCAAATTTTCTTGCCCTGTGACCTTGGACACATCCCCTGGCCTCTTCGCGCCTTAGCTTCCGTTGTGTAACGTGGGAGGGAGTCACACTAATTCCCTCATAAGACTGTTGCAAGATAACTTGATCATGCACAGTCCTCGGGCAGTGGCAGTAAACAGGAGGCATATTTCACGACGATGCACATTTATAAAAGTGTGTCCTGCTTTGACAACAACAGTAACTCTGGTTATTGATATAAGTGTGTTGGCTCTCCCTTGATCTTTATGGGCGCTTGTGGAGACCGATATTTAGTATAAATAAGTATAAATAAAGGTGCAAAGGCTTCTGAGCTGTAGAGAGCATGTCTGGCAGATCACTCAAGGGCACTAATAAGACACTTTTTACAAGATGAAGTGTCTGTGATTCAAAGTCAGATGTGAGTCAGGAGGGTTTTGCAGCCCTAGAATGGGCTCCTGCTTCCTCTCAGGAAGGGTGGAGACTAGAGAGGTGGAGTTTACTCCAAAGAGCAAATCTAGGGTCTGCCAGCTTGCCCAAGACCCCAAAATGCCCTCTGGCTGGCCTGGAGGAAAGTTTTGCAGGGCTCCTGGCTTAGGAAGGTGAAGGCTTTCCAAGGGGCAGAAAGGCTTCAGGGGAGCCGCCAACATCCCCGCTTCTGCGTCTCCCACCAGCGTCATCCTGGGGAGACCTGCATCCTGGCTCCCCCTCCCCAACCTTTCTGACTGGCACTGGGACGACCAAGGAGAGCCCTGGTCCTGTATGCAACCAAAACCACTGGATTAAAGAACTCCCAAAGGGCTCAGCAGATAGGATCTGTGGGATTCCAAAGCCATTCTTTTGTTAACATGGACACATGGGAATTCTATTATCAGAGGGTTTCTTGTTGCTTCTCGTCTCAGGTGGATCTCTGGCAACCGTGCCAACTCACACTGCAGTGTTCTGCACAGCTAGGGTGCCTGGCTCTCTGGCAGCTCAGTGGTGAGGGTGTGAGTCCAGAATAAAGACAAACCAACTGCTCCCCACAGTCTGCCCTGACAAACATAAACTGCCCAGAAAGTTCAAGGGGCTAATCGTTAACAAGAAAAAGGAGCAGTTAGGCAGTTCTTATAATAACAATAGTGCACACAAGCACACACACATAGAGCAATATTATTAGGACAGTCACTTCGTCCTGAGCACAATGACGTGCCTGGCCTTATACTAAGGGATCCGTAGTCCCTTCTTCACTTAATTGTAAAATTCAAAGCTTTCACTCACACACTCACTCAACAAATACCTGCTGTGCCAAGCAGAGCGCCAGGTACTGGGGACACAGGCCCCACCCTTGAGGGCGACAAGGATGCCATTGAGGGCTAGAGGTCAAAGGCGACAAGGATGCCAAGGTTGCCAACCGGAAGACAATGTGACCCAAAGCACCTGTAGGAAGCATCTGAAAACAGGGTTGAGGGCTCACACAGAGTCCAGCTGGTCAAGTCCTGGAGGGCTTCTATGAGGAAGTGAAACTGTAGCTTGCCACAGAAAATAAGCAGGACTGTGCCTGGCACAGAAGAGAGCAGACGCCTCTGATGTTACAGCTGAAGGACAAGACGGACGCTGGCAAAGCCCCAGAGGTGAGGTGAGGAAGGAGGAGCCCTGACGACGGCTGAGCAGTTGGGACTGGACAAGCTGGGAGGCCACGGGCGGGGGGCGCAGCCTTTCCTTTTAGAAAGCTCGCTCTGGCTTGGGGAGAAGGATGGCCTGAGGTGGCGGCCCAGTGTTGGGGACAGTGTGGGGGACTGCAGTGGCCCTCCAGTTAAGAGTTGTGACCTGACAGAAGGCATCAGCTGTGAGGGGGGCTGGGTCTGACATGCCACGGCCAGGGGGCACGTGTGCCAACAGTGATTGGTGACTGACTGGACTCGCTACCCAAGACAAGGAAAGGGAGGAGGCAGCTCTCAAGTGCAGGAGAGGCCCGAGGAAGGGGAGCTGGGGGAGAGGGTCAGAGGCAGATGAGCTCAGTGGGGACATGTAACCCTCTAGGTACAGAGGGTAGACCCGCAGCAGCTTTGTGCTGGGACCTCACTCTGCGTGCTCCTGCAGGGCAACTGTGGCTGGTCTGCCCTGACTCTCAAACCTGCCAATCATAGCCCTTGCTTGGCAAGGGGATGAGACGCAGGACCTCCAGGACCCCTCATCTGAGACAGTGTAGGATTTAGGATTAAGGAACTTCATTCATGGGCCACATGGCAGGGGTGAAGATTTCGCTTTATAAAAACACCAGGGAGAAAAGCCAGTAATGTGCCCATTCACATCACAAAACATGTATGTATAAGAAATAACAAGGCCTCCACTTTCTCATTCACCTTCCTCATGGCAATTCTGCAGGTTTGATTTGTTCCCACTGCCCCATACAGTCATCGTAAAAACAGCTGACATCCGTTGCGCTCTGACAAGGTGTTCCAACCGCATAGAACAAACGGGTTCATTTAGTCCTCATAATAAGCCTAATAGGATGCATCAACTCCGCTTTAAAGGGAAGGAAACTAAAGCTCAGAAAGGTCAAGCCACCTGCCTAGGGTCACCCACATTAGACTCTGAGCCCAGGTGGCCTGGCCTCACAGTTCATACTCCTGGACACTGCTCTGTCATCCCAACTAATCCCGAGCCCCAGCCCAGGCTCTCTGCCTCTCCAGCAGAGACAACACTCAGACAACAGGAGGGTAAAGGCTGGGTGCGTGGAAGCCCTGGTTGTGTGGGCAGGAGGTGAGCCGCTGGGTACCTAGCTCGAGGCGCAGGGGAGGCCCGTTCTCAGCCAGGGTGGCATCAGGGACGGCAGGAGGCGCGGGCGGGCTGCTGTGGAACTCCCAGCGCTTCATCTGCAGCTGCTGCAGCCAGTAGAGCATCACTTGCTTGGAGGCGGCCTGAGAAGCACAAGGGTTAGTTGGCAAGGCCCTGCACCCCCAGGGTGGCACTGGGGTGGGATGTGAGAGGGACAGGGCAGACTTGCAATCTCTCCTTCCCAGAAAAAACAAAGTCATTGGATGGTGCCCCCCTCTGAAATGTCATATGCCTCTTGGCCACATACTCGGTGGTCAAAATATGCCAGCTGGAGTTGGGAGTGCTAAGAGGGAGAGGGAAGCGCCTCGGAATTCTGACCCGCGTGGGACCTGGTGCCACCACTCTCTTGCTGTGTGACATCTCAAAGTCTTAGCTGGCCTTTTGTGGAATGCGGGGTATCCCTCTGTTTGGGCGATGTGCTAAAATCATGGACACCATCACACTACGACAACAGGTGGTACCTTCCAGGCACCGCAGAAAGGTCATGCTGAATGCTCTCATTAGTCTCCCAGTACTCCCTGCCCGGTTCCCACTCTAATACCATTACTTGTTGCACTCTCTAGGCCAGAGCTCAGGCAGAAGTGATCACATGGACCAACTCTGAACTGGCCTGGGTAGCTGATGGAGAGCTGATCCCAGAAACTGAGTCCCCTGGTTCTAGGCCAGAGGTTTGTCGTGATTTATGGCCAGGAGGTTATGACTTTACAGAGAAGGCATGGGGTCAGCTGGGCTGTAGACGTGTGTGGTGAGCCTCCCAGAGGCTGCCCACAATCAGGGCCATGTGGGAAGAGCTACAGGCTATGGGCAAACTCCCCATCTCTGGAGGTGAGGGGTGCACAACCCCAGCCTGTCATGGAGGTATCAAATAAGATTAGCCGAGGCATGTCAATCTCCCCTCTATATAAACTTTTGCTGAGAGGCCTCAGCTCCTTCCAGGGCTTTATCATGGCCATGTGCTGATGAGTTCCGGCCCAAACCTCATGTCCTATCTTATTAATTCAGTGGACAGGTATACACTTGCTAAATTCATTTTGGGAACTGTGGCAGGCGCTGGACATACACAGGGGCCCAGCCCCGGGGGCTTTAGTCTACTGAAGGGAGTAAACCTGGAAGTCCCATGCATTCCTCATCCTGGGTTCTGTCAGTAACGAACCCTTCAGACAATCAGCACATTCTCCACCTCCTGTCCCTAGCCATCCCCAGTCTCCACCTCCAACTGGACCCCTTACACACCTCCCCCCCAAACCTCCCGCCCCACGAAAACACAGCTCTACTCAGTCCTACCCTTTGCAGTCACCTCCTGCCAGACTCCCTGACAGCAGCCTGGCCTTCTCACTTTATTCTCTACCCACTAGCCACACTGAGCTTTCTCAACTTTCTAATTTCAGTGTTTCCTTTCCTAAAACTCTCACCGAACCACTTCCTCACAGTTCAGAAGACAAAGTCTGATCTCTGGGCTAAAATTCACAAGTGTCTGCCCTTGGGCCTCTGCTGTTCCACTCATCTTTTGCCCTCTGGGATTTTCCTAGACGTCCTGGACTTTATTAAGTTTTCTTACCTATACTCACAGGTTTCTCTTGGCCTGAATACCTTTCTCCCCCTTGTCTGCTTACAGAAATCCAGTCCAATTTCCTCTTTCAAGTCTCAGGGGTGTCCCCTCCTCTACGATGCGCTCTCTGGATGGTCCTTCCTGTCACTCCAGTCTAGTCTTATCATGGTGTCTCCCTACAAGATTTCATTGTGCACAGGCTCCTTGTCAGTCTCAGTCTCACCAGCCCTTAAACTGTACGAGCTCCAGGGAGCAGGTCTGATTTGGCTTCACACCCCACTGCCTAACACGGAGCCACGCACACATGGCCCAGTGCATAGTTAGAGATGTGAGGTAGGGATTATGTACATACCATTAAACCTGTTGAGGAGACACATGACTAGTACAGCACATGACCTCTGAAATGCCTGCCTTTCCTGTTCTGGAATTCCTAGTTTCCATTATTTTAGCTGGGTTTGGTCATCCATCAGGCCAAGCCAGTAGAGGGAGATTGAAACTGTGGGCCACAGACAGGGATTTTGATAGAGGCCCAGTTGACTGGAGATGGGGCCAGATGGGTGAGAGGTAGGGCCAGGTGGGGGTCACTGTCCTAGAGCGTACTGTTCTCTAAGGAGCATAGATAGGAACGTAGATATCACAACTCTTAGACCAGACCTGTCTCTACAGTCAACTTCTACGGCTCCTCCTTTTAGTATGAATGTTCTGTCCTTGGCTGGTGTATTCAGTCAAGAAACATTTATTGGGCACCTACTACAAGTCAGGCTACATTCTAGGAGCTGCGATGAATTCAACAATTTGTAGGTACCTTTGATGTGCCAAATGCTTACGTCCTCACTTTAACTCTCACAGACTACCTACATGCTGAGAGGTTAAAGGACTTGCCCATGGTCACATAGCTAGTAAAGCCGATAAAATAAGTACTCAAATCCAAGTCTGTCTGTTTTAAAAGCACACGCCCTTTCCATTGCTGCAGGTTTTCTTTGTTAAAAAATTGGGCCATCCCAGGTGGCGCAGCGGGTTAAAGCACAGCACTGAGAAGCTAAAGCTACTTCGGCATGAGTTCCATCCCAGCCCTGGAGGTGATCCACATGGTGTAGCAGACCTCTCCTGACCCGCCCCCTGCTCCCCTCAGCAGTGTACTTCGTTGATCTGCCTGTTCTGCTCCCCACTCTGTCTCTGGTGAAGCCTCTCACTACCCCTGTACCTCTGGCCTGTACCCCAGTTCTGTATGCACAAATAAATAAA